TGCCACACACTAGATTTTGGGTGTTTTTTGGTCTGTTAGAGGAAAGTGCCTCCCAAAATTTTAAAGAAAGGAAAACTTATATATGTACAAAAATAAGGGTTGATATGATGAAGGGATGGAATATGACTGTAAAGATGAAAATTATAAAAAATTTTATAGACAGAATTGATAAGAAGTTGTTTGAAAAAAGAAAGAAGAGGATTTAAGAAAAAAAGGAAAAAAAAGGGAGAGAATGTGATCATGCAGGAGAGTAGAACAAAACCATACAGTAGAGATTAGGGTATATTTTGATATGTTATAAGAAACTAACTCAAAATTTTAAAGAGAGAACAACTTATATATATATGCCAAAAATACAGGTAACTACTATGAAGGGAGAGAATATGACTCTAAAAATGAAAAATAAAATTTTTTTTAAAAAAGGTATTGATAAGATGTTGGTTGAAAAAGGGAAAATGAAAAATTTAAAGAAAAAAAAGACAGTTAAAAAAATAACTTTGATAGACTAAAGAATCATGGTAAAAAGCCATGGATTCTATGGGCAGTATTCCCCTAGCGCTGGAGTTTCGCCGTTCTCATTGATGGTTAAACTTGGTCTTGGCTGGTTGTTCTTGCTGATCTTCTGGGGGAGGGGCCTGTTGCCGTGGTTCCCAAATGTCTTTGCCAGAGGTGGAATTGTCCTGCCCTTGCCTGACCGGGCTAAGTAATCTTCTCAGGTTTGCTCTCAGGAGCTTTTGTTCCCTGCAAGCTTTCTGTACAGGTTTGGAGGAGGAGAGTGAAAATGGCGGCCTCCCCAATCTCTGACCCAGAGGAGTGGAGAACTCGGGGCCCCACTCCTCAGTGAGCCCCCAGAGAAAAGCAGTGAGTCACTCCCATCTCCCCCATCTCTGGCCACACTCTGTGCTCACCCGGCCTGTGACCAAGCGTTTCTATCTCTGGCACCTGACTCTGTGTGGAGTCTCCAAACCCATCAGATCCCTTGGTGCACTCCCACGCCACTCCTCCTGGGGAGGAAGGGGAGTCTCCCCAGATCTGTCGCTTGTTGGGTCCGTGCTGGAAGCATTCAGTTCTATTTCCAGTCAGCTTTCTCTACAGTCTACACTTGTCAGAGAGTGATCAAATTTAAATATCAGTTGAACATTTCACTCCTCTACTCAAAATTATCTGTGGTTTTCCTCTCATGCAGAGTAAAACTTAACAACTTCACATGAACTGCATTTTCCCCTGGTCCTGCAGCTATTTTTTTCTTAATTTACTCATAATCTAGTTTCTTACTTACCTGCTTCCCTGAGGTTGCACTAGACTCTGAAGCCCCCATGTAAGACCCACACTATGTGCTTTTCTTGGACCCACTGTTAATCATACTCTCCCTGGAACAACCCTCTTTGTGGCTCTATATGCACTCCAATTTATTTCTAATGTTTGTGTCTCCTGGTGACAGAAGGTAAGGTTAGAGCTCCCCTTTGCACTTTGACTCACCACATTGTTTTTAATGTAGTGGTGCCAAAAACTGGTTGTGGCCCATAGTCAGCACTCAATAAATAATGACTAAAACACTGGATGCTAAAGTTAATCACAGTCCTGTCCATAGATGTATAACCAACAAAGAATTAAAAACACAGTCTACTGATTACACTAATTATTCAGTGAGATTTATTATTGGCTAGTAGCAATTAGGCAACCCAATGGAGAAAAACATAACATTATTTTCCCTTTGGAATAGAGCAGCTTAATATATTATAACTCTTGGACAATGTTCAAGTGCATAAGAGACTAGTAAGAGAAGTAAAATCACCATGCTCTTTAGGTCCCCTCTTTCTTCCTACTGTGGTATCAATAAAGCCAGTTTGGAATTTATATTATTTTTCAGAGGATCAACACATGTAATCATCTGTTTTGAAATGAGATTCTATAATATCCTTCTGCCCTTGTGATGGCAATACTCATTATAATCAAGCTTAAGAAGACAAGTGGAACTTTCATGTGCCAGGTTTGGAGGTATACTATTAAATGATTGTTTGGAAGAAAAAAAATACTTAGGCTTAAAATATTTTAGATTTAATATTTTATTTTGGACTTGAGAAAAACAGGAGTTAAAAATACTAATTTTGCAAAAATGAAAACTAAAAAATGTAAAGGGATAATTTTATTCTTTGCTGCACAAATTGTTTGATTTAACAGTTCCAGGTTTCTCTGTGGTGAGTTTCAATGGGAGAAATATATATTTCAAAATTTTCTTCAATTTAAGGTGTTCCACTTTTTATGAATTTTAATAATTATATCATATTATAATATTTTATTTAGAACATATATGATAATTACCAGGTGTATAGCTGTTAGTGATATATTTTGGCATTTAATACACTAAGTTTAAAGTATTAAGTGTTAAATTAAATCACAACAATTAATAAGAGTAAGTGATGAATAAAGAAACTGAAGATGAAACTTAAAAAATAATAACACTAAATGTTGAAGGTGGAGTGCTATATTTTCATCCCCCAAAACATTAATCAATGTGTATGAGTTAGAATCTTCAAGAACTCTTTAAGGCAATATTTCCCAATCATTTTTTATCTGTCACATTAGAAGTAACAAACATATATGGGTTTTTCTTACTCCATCACTCTAGTTGTTAGTAATATTATAAGATGAAGAATTCACAGTATTTTAACAGGGATATATATATATATATATGAGATCAAATTTAATTTAATTATGACAAACATATATTTTTTATATTATCATTTTTCCAAATCCAACAACCAGTATTTATTCAGGATCTTTCCATGGTCCATTACAATGGAGAGAGGCTAAACATGTATTTAGGATAATTAGAATAAGATGGTGTGGGAGAGAATATTGTATAGTACAATCTTAATATTTTACTAAATTTACATGAAGGTTGATGAATAAAATCTGTACAAATAGAAGAACCTGGCATGTCACTGTAAAAGAAATTAACAACCACACTCATCAGACTAAAAGTATTTTTATTTACTGCAACAGTGTGTGGTCCCTTCTTCCTGCCACAGATTCCATTTCCATCAATCTTATGGGATGGAAACAGGAAGACAAAGAAGGGGATTGGGTAGGGGTGGGCTTGAAGACTGTAATAGGTTGCAAGTACATGCATTTTAGGACTAGATGTATAAATATGATGAAAAAGAAAAAAAAGAAAGCATGTAGAGAAAACATTTTTTAACTCATAGTATAATGGGAAAATCAGCTGACAGGGGAAATAGTGAATAAATTGTGACTAGGAGGCCAGTAATCTTGGTTCATATAATGTAGGATTTTTGATACCTACAGTAATCAGGACATGTATCATATGGAAGTGTGCACATAAAACCATATAATTTTATGATAAATAATTTGAGTATTATGAATGAGAAAAAAGTTAGATTGATTTATATTTAATGTATTAAAAATTTTAAATATATGAATATCTCTAAACTGTTTTGCAGACAGTAAGGAGGTTAAAGATTTCATAGATTGCAGAAGGTCTGTAATCACTTTTCCCCCTAAGAATTGTTTACTATTCAACTTCTTGAAGGTATGCCAAAACACGTTTTGTTGTTCATGGGATATGAAGTGACCTTATGACTGAGACACAATTGAATAGTAGTTGGTTTGTCACTCTGAATTTCTGAGAGATATAAGAAGGTAGATTGTTGTTCAGGTTTTGATAAAATCAGTTGAAATTTTCAGTACTTCAGGATTTTTCACAGGACATATGTGGAAAACATAATAATGGCACATTTACATGATTTGAAACTAAAGTGGTTCAATAAAGAAGTTTTATTCAAGTAATGATTGATGATCAATATACTGAGTAGGAGCTAGATGAAAGTAATTTCTGTGTTTAATAGTTTGCATGACTGCCATATTTAGAAACCCATTTTATGTTCAATACTGAAAAAAATTGAGGATGATATTTTATTACTCTATTTTTATACAGATTATGCCTCCAACGCCGACAAATCTCACAGTTGTGATAGAATTTATCCTCATGGGATTTTCTACCAACAAAAATATATGCATTTTTCATTTAGTGCTCTTCTTTTTTATTTACTTCTGTGCTCTGATGGGCAATGTCCTCATCATCATGATCACAATTTTGGACCAGAATCTTCACACCCCCATGTACTACTTATTGAATAATTTATCCTTTTTGGATCTCTGCCTAATTTCAGTCACCATTCCTCAATCCGTTGCCAACTCTTTGTCTCACAGTAACTCCATCTCATTCACTGGCTGCATTGTCCAGGTCTTTCTGGTGGTTTTTTCAGCAACTACAGAACTATACCTCCTGACAGCAATGTGCTTTGACCACTATGCTGCCATATGCCATCCCCTGCACTATGAAATCATCATGAACAAAGACATGTGTGTTCAGCTGACAGGTGTATCTTGGCTGGGTGGGGGTCTGATTGCTCTGATGCACACAGTTGGTACTTTCTCCTTATCCTACTGTGGGTCTAACATAGTCCATCAGTTCTTTTGTGACATCCCCCAGTTATTGGCTATTTCTTGCTCAGAAAATTTAATGATAGAAATTGTACCTATCCTCATTAGTGTGGTGTTGGATATCTGTTGTTTTATTTACATCATTATTTCCTATGTGAACATCCTTTCCACTGTCAAGAAGATTCCTTCAAGAGAAGGTCAGTCAAAAGCCTACTGCACTTGCCTTCCACATCTGGTGGTAATTACATTATTTCTCTTCACTGGCATCTTTGCTTATCTGAAGCCAGCTTCAGGGATTCCTTCTATTAGTGACCTTTTAATTTCTATGTTCTACACTATGGTGCCTCCAACCTTCAATCCCATTATATACAGTCTAAGAAATAATGCCATGAAAACATCACTGCAGAGGTTGCTAAAAAAAACATTCACCAAAAAGTGAAAGTTATTTTCTCTTTTTTTTTTTTTGCATTTTCAATAATAAATACCATCTACAAATTTACACACATTATTTCTTAGTATATTTGCTTCAAATATTTCTAGAACTCTTTTAGGTTTAAAAAATTGAGAGGGAATACAGAAATTTTTCAATATAACCACTACATCCACAAATGCATAACCTTCATGAGTAACAATATAACTCACCAGAATCACATTTTTTAACAAAGATATACCTACACTTAAACCTCATGACTAATCCATAGTCCATAGTTTACATTAGGGATTCTCTTAGTGCTTTACATCTATGGGTTTGGACAAATACATAATGACATACAGTCATCACTATAATGTCTCACAGAGCATTTGTACTACCCCAAAACTCCACCACACCCTGACCATTTTTGTACCCTAACCCCCATCAGACCAGGTATTCAATGATCTTTTTATTATCTCCATATTTTTGGCTTTCCCAGAATGTCATGTAGTTGGAATCATATAATAAACAATCTATTCAGATTGGCTTTCCTTATTTAGTACTATACATTTAAATTTTCTCCATGTGATTTTGTGGCTAGATAGCTCATTGCTATATAATATCCCATTATCTTCATGTACTACAATTATTTATCCATTCACCTACTAAAGAACATTTTGGTTCCCTCCAAATTTTGGCAACTAACCATAAAGCTGCTCTAAACATCCTTGTGCAGTTTTATTTGTGTACATAAGTTTTCTTTGGATAAATATAGAGGGGCATATTTGCAGGATTGTGTGGTAAAATTATATTCAGTTTTCAAAATTTTAATTCTAGTATGTTTAACATAAAGTGTTATATTAGTTTCAGGTGTGCAATATAGTGATTCAACATTTCCATACATCACCCTGTGTTCAGCACAACAAATGCATTCCTTAATCCTCATCACCTATTTCATTCATCTCTCCACCCACCTCGCCTCTGGTAACCATCAGTTTGTTCTCTATACTTAAGAGTCTATTTCCTGGGCACCTGGGTGGCTCAGTCGTTAAGCGTCTGCCTTTGGCTCAGGTCATGATCCCAGGATCCTGGGATCGAGCCCCACATCGGGCTCCCTGCTCCGTGGGAAGCCTGCTTCTCCCTCTCACACTACCCTTGCTTGTGTTCCCTCTCTCGCTGTCTCTCTCTCTTCAAATAAATAAATAAAATCTTTTTTAAAAAAAGAGTCTATTTCCTGTTTTGTTTTGTTTTTGTTTTTGTTTTTTTCTTTGCTTAATTGTTTGGTTTCTTAAGTTCCACATACTAGTGAAATCATATGGTATTTTTCTTTCTCAGACTGACTTATTTCACTTAGCATCATACTCTCTTTCTCCATTCATGTCTTTGCAAATGGAACGAATTCATTCTTTTTTATGGCTGAATAATATTCTATTTTATACATATATACCACTTCTTATTTATCCATTCATCTATTGATGCTCATTTGGGCTGACTCCATATTTTGGTTATTGTAAGTAATGTTGCAATAAACGTAGGGGTATATGTGACCCTTTCAATATGTTTTTGTATTTTGGGGGTAAATCCTCCAATAATGCAATTAATAGATCATAAGGTAGTTCTATTTTTAACCTTTTCAGGAGCCTCCATACTGTTTTACACAGTGGCTGCACTTGTTTATATTCCCACCAACAGTGTAAGAACATTTCATTTGCTTCACATCCTTGCCAATTCCTGTTTTTTTCTTGTGTTGTTGATTTTAGCCATTCTGTCTGGTATGAGGTGATGTCTCATTGTGGTTTTCATTTGCATTTCACTGATGATGAGAGATGTTGAACATCTTTTCATGTGTCTGTGGGCCATCAGGAAGTCTTCTGGGAGAAATATCTGTTCATGTCTTCTGCCCATTTTTAATTGAATATTTTTTCCTGGGTGTTGAGTTATATTAGTTCTTTATGTATTTTGGATACTAACCCATTAGCAGATATGTTATTTGCAAATATCTTCTCTCATCACATAGGTTGCCTTTTAGATTTCTTGATTGCCTCCTTCACTATGCAGAAGTTTTTATTTTGATGCAGTCCCATAGTTTATTTTTGCTTATTTCCCTTGCCTCTGGGGACAAACCTAGAAAAATTTTGCTGTGGCAAATGTGGGAGATATTACTGCCTCTGTTCTCTTCTAGGACTTTTATGGTTTCAGGTCTCATATTTAGCTCTTTAAGCCATTTTGAATTTATTTTTGTTTATGGAGTAAGAAAGTGGTCCAGTTTCATTCTTTTGAATGTAGCTGCTCAGTTTTCTCAATACCATTTGTTCAAGAGACTATCTTTTTTTTTCCCATTGAATATTTGCTCCTCCTTTGTCAAAAATTAATTGGCCATATAATTGTGAGTTTATTTCTGGATTTCTATTCTGTTCTGTTGAAGTATGTGCCTATTTTTGTGTTACTGCCATACTATTTTTATTACTACAACTTTGTAATTTAACTTGAAGTCTGGAATTGTTACACCTCCATTTTGCTTTTCTTTTTCAAGATTGCTTTGGCTATTCAAAATCTTTTGTGGTTCCATATAAATTTTTAGGATCCTTAGTTCTAGTTCAGTGAAAAATACTGTTGGTGTTTTGATAGGGATTGCATTAAATGTGTACATTGCTTTGGGTAGTATAGATATTTTAACAATATTTGTTCTTCAAGTTCATAAGCCTGGATTATCTTTCCATTTCTTTGTGTCATCTTTAATTTCATTCATAAATGTTTTATAGTTTTCAGAATACAGACCTTTCACTTCCTTAAGTTTATTTCTAGGTATGTTATTATTTTTGGTACAGTTGTAAATGAGATTATTTTCTTAATTTCTCTTTCTGCTACTTCATATTAGTATGTAGAAATGCAACAGATTTCTGTATATTGATTTTTGTATCCTGCAACCTTACTGAATTCATTTATCAATTTTGGTAGTTTTTTGATTGAGTCTCTTGTGTTTTATATATATAGTATCATGTCATCTGCAAATAGTGAAAGTTTTATTTCTTCCTTACCAATTCAGATGGCTTTTATTTCTTTTTGTTTTGTAATTGCTGTGGCTAGGGCTTCCAATACTATGTTGAATAAAAGTGGTGAGAATGAACATTCTTCTCTTATTCCTGACTTAGAAGAAAAGCTATCGGTTTTTCCCAATTGAGTGTAAGGTTCACTGAAATGTTTTCATTGATGACCTTTATCATGTTGAGGAATGTTCCCTCTAAGTTTGCTTTGTTGAGGGCTTTTAGTATGAAAGTTGTTGTGCTTTGTCAAATGCTCTTCCCATGTCTATTAAAACAATCCTATGTTTTTTTATCCTTTCTCTTATTGATGTAATGTATCATGTTGATTGATTTGCAAATATTGAACCATGCTTGCATCCCAGGAATAAATCCTACATGAATGAATTTTTAATGTATTTTTGGATTTTTATGTATTTTTTGCTAGTATTTTGCTGAAGATTTTTGCCTCTATTTTTATTCGAGATATTACCCTGTAGTTCTCTTTTTTTTTGTGACGTCATTATCTGCTTTTGTAATCAGGGTGATCCTGGCTTCATGGAATGAATTCACAAGTTTTCCAGGAAGGGAAAAATGAAGGAGGGATATCAGAAGGGCAGACAAACCATGGGGGGAATACCAGAAGGCAGACAAACCATGAGAGACTATGGAGTCTGAGAAACAAACTGAGGGTTCTATGAGGGGAGGGGGGT